TATGAGGTGAGAAAGTTTTCATGCCTTTCAGAATTAGGTATGTATCTATAACATGTATTACATGTGTTACCTGTTTTACATGTTTATATTTATATCCCACCTTTCCTTCAAGGAGCCCAAGGTGGTGTTCATAATTCCCCTCCTCCCTGTTTTATCCTCACCTGTGAGGTTGGTTAGGCTGAGAGATAGTGACTGGCTCAGGGTCACATCCAGTGAGCTTCATGCCTTGGTGGAGATTTGAACCCAGGCCTCCCAAGTCCTTAGTCTGGAACTCTAACCACTACACAACACTGGCTCTGTGAAAATATTACAACAACCAGGATATGAGCATAGACAAACATGATGTGGGGTTCGACAATCAGGTATACAGACCGCACAAGTAGAGAAAACATGAATTAATGCACATCAATCTCAGTTTGAATTACAAAAATATTAAATTTCATTGCAACAAAGCTGGAGTTTGCTAATACATTCGGGAATTGCAAACCTACTCGATTCAATTTATGAACCAAGTAATTTTGCGCGTTGGCAGCAGCAATGCTTCACACAGGGAAACATTTCTGGCAAAAAAAAAATGTGCTTTTGGAGACCTTTACTCTCACAAACCCCCATTTACTTATTTCACCCTGCTTGAAAGCTGTTCTTTTCCTACGTGGTAGTACTTTCACTACATTATTTGAGGGGGGGGGGGAATCAGGGTCTCTTAATCCATAACAGTTATAGATAATGTAATATGGATAACATTATGTTTCCACAATGCCACAACGGAATCATCTTATCATGACCCTGGGGTTGGATTCCCCATCTTCAAGATATGAGACCGGGAACTGAGAACAGGAGTTAACCTTAGAGCCAGCCCCAGAGGTTTCTAACAACCCAGGTACACTACCGTGAGCGAACCCTGTTTGTCCAGCACCTCTCCAGTTGCATTGGACCTTGCACTTCCCTCCCCCAAGGACCCCAGCTCAGAAGCCCCCAAGGGAGTAGAGCCTCCCCTATTCAGTTGGAGGTGATTGACGTTTAAAGTAGGCTGTTTCCTGAAGCAAGGAGGGTCCTCCTGTCACTGAAGGCAGAGCTAGCTACTCACCTCTTATGTGTTGGTATCCTTGAGTCTGGATTACTGCAATGCGCTCTATGTGGGGCTGACCTTGGGTCTGGTTTAGAAGCTCCAGCTGGTGCAGAATAGGGCTGCCAGATTGCTGGTGAGGGTATTTGGTCAATAACATAGGACACCATCAGAGGCATAGTGGGAGGGGGAGCTACCAGGGCGATTGCTCCAGGCACAAATATTTTTAGGGGCGCATCTCTGCAGCTGCTGCCCTGATTGGAGCTGCACCCCATTCCACCCACCGGCCTCACCTTAACACACATCAAGCAGGACCTGGGAGAGGATAGGTCCTTGCAGCCCTTGTGGCATCCCCTGCCAGTGAGGGAGGCGGGCGGAAAGCAAGATTTCAGTGGTGGCAGCACCCCAGTCCAAGGAGGCGCACATGCATGTCCTGTCGCTGCTCCCAAGCTCCACCTAGCAGCAGCACATAGTGCCAATTAGGAGGCACAATACTTTCCTTCCCCCGGGTGCTGGCAACTGTCGCTATGCCACTGGAGACCACTGTTAAAACAGCTGCATTAGAAAGAATTATAAGAGCTGCTTGACAGCATAACAGACTACCTTAGAAGGTGGTTGACTCTCCTTCACAGAGGTCTAATGACCATCTGTCAGGGATCCTTTAGCTATGATTCCTGCCAGGACTCGGTGAGCCTTGTGGGGGAGGGGAGAGTCCCTTCAAACCCTACAATTCTAGGATTCTATGAGGTAAGAACTTATTGTCCTCATTCTGAATGTTTTTACCCTTCTTCACTGTGCTCCCACAAAAAGACAAATTGCCCCAAAGCAGATGCTTTTTTGCAACTTGTGAAAAGCTTTTGAAGAAATCACACCTGAGCCTTACACATTACGTAACAACTGTACTTGCTGCAGAAACATTGGTATTTGCTGTGGTAATGACATCCAGACACACAGAGGCCTCTGGTGTTTGAACAGTTCGGGGACAAGGAGGAGAAGGACCCACACTGGGCATCCACAATTGGCCGCAGGTTCCTGGCACATCTGTCTTGCACAATGATGATGTAGACAGAAGTTTATGAAATTATGTGAGGTATGGAGAAAGTGGACAGAGAAAAGTTTTTTTCTCCTTCTCCCAAAACACTAGGACTTGTGAACATCCAATGTGGGAAGACACAGGACAGAGAAAATAAAGCCCTCCTGAATGCAGCACATCACTAAACTAGGAAACTCGCTCCCACAGGAGGCAGCAAAGACTTTAAATGAAGATATTCATGGAGGAGAGGGCTAGCAATGGCTACTAGCCATGATGGCTATACTCTGCCCCCATAGTTGGAGGCAGCAATGCTCTTGAATACCAGTTACTGGAAACCACAGGAGGGAAGAGGACTCTTGGGCTAGAATCCTGTTTGAGGGTTTCCCATAAGCAGCATCTGCAATGCCTTTTCCCAAGAAAAATAGGTGCAGGAACTCACCATGAAGTTGTTAACAGTAAGTTGTTGGTCGACTCGGGACAGCCCTGAACAGATGCTGGTTTGACAGCCCTGAGTGCTCACTGGAAGGACAGATCCTGAAGCTGAGACTCCAATACTTTGGCCACTTCATGAGAAGAGAAGACTCCCTGGAAAAGACCCTGATGTTGGGACAGATGGAGGCCACAAGGAGGAGGGGACGACAGAGGACGAGATGGTTGGATAGTGTTCTCGAAATGCACCAGCATGAATTTGACCAAACTGCAGGAGACAGTAGAAGACAGGAGTGCCTGGTGTGCTCTGGTCCATGGGGTCACAAAGAGTCGGATACGACTAAACGACTAAATAACAATAACAAATGTTCATCCCCCGCAGAGCTGTTAAAAATTATGGCAAGCTGTCTCCCTACCTGGTTTGGGGGTCACCCCTGGTTCTGGAGCAGGTCAAGTAAATGTGCCCCAACTCCCTCATTCTCATAGATTGAGGCGGATGGCTAGGGCTGCTCAGAAGGGCCCTTGCACATACGTGCATGTGCGCACAACAGTAGAGGCCTGGCTGGAAAGCTTAAAGCCCACCGCTGCTACACTGGACAGATTGAAGAAAAGGAAATATTGATTGTTCCCACCCCGTAGCTTGACCAAATGTAGCTAGGAGCAGCTAGGAGATAGGTGGAGTCATAGATCTAAAAAAAAAAGGTGTAGACTCGCACTCGCTGGCCAGCTTCTGTTTTGACTTGAAATGTTCATTTTGGGCATGAGGGATTTCTGTGGCAATGAGCCAGAAACCCCTTTCCTCAGGAGTTCAGGAGGTGCCTTACGCTACCTGCAAGGCCTTGCCAAAGATAATCCTGGCTGATGGGTGTGGGGATGAGGCAGCATTAAGAAAGGAAAGTCCCCATGTCATTAGCACCACGCTTTCAACTCAACAAGCTGGTGGCTTTTCCTCAGCCACTCCGTCTGCATCTAAATAATTCTTTCAAGTCACAACACTTTTTTTCCCAAGACATCCCATTAATATTTAACAAGACAGCCCACAGCAAGTTAGATAGTGTAGCAATTAATTTTTAAATGGTGACATTTATTACAGCATGTAACTGCTACCTAGCTTGCTGTGGGCTATCGGGATAAAATGTCAGTTAAATATCTCATAATTCCCCTCAATTTAATGCAAACATAAAAACTGTAATCATCCCATTATTTGCAAAATATAATTGAGGTTTTTCATTTGGGGAGGGGGGCGCCGCTCATTTCTCCCTTGCCAATGTGGCCTCTGAGGCAAAGTGTAAGACGGAGAGGAGGATGTTTGAGGGTAATTAATGTATACATTAATTTAATTTAATTTCATCGAAACTTAAGATCTGGGCTCGCAATGCTCAAGATAACAGCAGAGAAAGCATTGATTAACAGCGAGGCAGCTTGCAGTTGCTGCCTCCAGCCACTGCAACAAACCTCTCCTAGGCGGCGAGAATTATATGTATGCAGAAATGCAACCAGGACTCAAGGCCACGCAGATCCTGTGACCCTCAACAGGTTGTGATGCTTTGCGTTGCCCCCGTGCCCTCTCTCATTAAATACCACACCCTTTCAAGTACAGGCAAACTGACCATTAGGTGGCCCCTGAGAGGTGGCAGGTGTTGACTGCTGCAGCAGAGAGAGGGAGAGCCATGGGGCACAATCCTACCAACCTAGATGGCTTTAAAATAAGATTAGACACATTCATTGAGGAAAGGGCAGTCGGTGGCTAGTAGCCACGATGGCTACGCTGTGCATCCACAGTTGGAGAATGCAATGCTTCTGAATACCACTTGTTGGAAACCACGGGAGAGGAGAGGGCTTTTGCCCTCAGATGCTGCTTGCTGGTTTCCCAGAGCCACTGTGAGAACAGGATACTGGACTTGATGCCCCATTGGCCTGACCCAGCAAGCTCTTCTTAGGTTCTTATCCATCCCCACTGACATGATTTGGAGCTACCCAGGGGTGTGTAGCCCCTTAAGAAATATAACCAACCTTGGGGAAACTCTTTCAGCTTCCCTTCAACCCTCTCCCATGTTTGGGATAAATTGGAGGAAGGGGCTTGTTAGGGAGAAGGAAGCAACTCTCCTTTGAGGGAGGGAACTCTAGATACTGTTGCTCCCTCCCCCCATTCTGCTGTGACTCAGAAGAATGACAAAGTGAATTGATCCCAGCCTCTCCCTCCAATGCCATTTGCTTTATTCCCTTCCTCAGAGATGGTTCAGGGCAGAGGGCAGGGTGTTTCTTTGTTTACCCCTTAAAATTTATACGCTACTTGATCGTAAAAATGAAAGACAAGCCAACACTCGATGCAGTTTACCAAAAAGGTTAAATAATACTATTATCAATAAGAAAAATTATCAATACTTTCAAAAAGCTAAAATAGCAATAGACTTAAAAACAGATTAAAACTCACATCATCAGCTTTCTAAACATTTGAGGAGGCTTCTCTAAACAAAAATGTTTTTAGCAGGCACTGAACAAGAGTACATTGAGGGTGCTTTGCCTCGTATCGATAGGCAGGAAGTTCCAAAGTGTAGGCTGGCACACTAAAATATCTAGTCCTTACAAATGCAAAAAGGGTATTATGTGGCATCTGTAGCAGTGTGTGTTCTGCAGATCGGAACATTTGAGTGGGCATATATTGGGCAAGACAATGTGGTGCAGGATCTTGCTCACTGGGGTCCCTCCACCCGCCATTCTCATTGCTTACATATTCCTCCAATGAGGAAATGCAGTGACTAATGGCTGTGATATGATTTGTGACCGAAAGGGCTTTCAATTACAGGAAGAATAAACATTGCAAGCCCATACTCAAAATAAAAGAAAGAAAAAAGAAATTAACATAAGCCAGTGGCAGGTTGGGAAGTTTACGGATAATGCATCCATCTGATTTAGTTGTTTTTCAAACCCCACATTAAGCAAGTCTCTGTGGTTTTTTTACATTTTCCAACACCCTGCATTTTGCATCCTGAATGAGACCGCATTATGGCCAGAATACATTACCAGGTTGCTTCGTCCTCTGAGATAATGTACTTTTCCCTTTGCAATATTCAGGTTCAGAAATATATTAATGGAACAGAATGGCTTAACGTTGTTGAAAGAGGTAATTTTCTGTGTCTTTCTTTTTCCGCTGCAATTTTCAAAATTATATCTATCTTTATGCCGACACACAAAACAAGAGTGAGTGTTGAGGCTCCCGGACGATGCTCCGAGTAAACCTTGATTCACGTGAGCTGGGTTGAAATCCTATCAGCAGAGAAAATTTAGAGCAAAATAAAAAAGAGGTTTTGTCAAAATGTTGCTTGATATGATTTCTGTTGTGGCAATTTCCACCTGACAGTTTTGCAACTGTTTTGGAACATTCTGAAAAGGGAGAAAGCTGCCAGCCTCAAATTTCCTAAAGAAGGGGACATGACATTTGTCAAGTTTTAGTTGCAAGAAGAAGTCTCGTAGAATTCAGGGGTGGTGATGAACTGGACTCCTCTTAAACAGGCTCAGTAAAATCCGTCTTATTCTTCTCACTTTGAGAACTGCAGTTATGTGAAGAAAGAAGGCAGGCGTTGGGATCTTTAGTGAAGAATATTTGGCAGCCTCCTCAAAATTACAACTCCTAGGAGCCATCATAGTTAAGCAGGCATAGAATCAATATAAAAGTTGTGGATATTTACAGAATGTCCTAAAAGGCTTACAAAGGTTAAGAATAAAATAACAATGGAATCATCATCAACAACTCAGGAACCCAAGTCATTGATTCCATCGAGTCTAGTATTGCTGGCACTGACTGGCAGCAGCTCTCCAGGGTTTTAAGCATAAATCCTTCCCAACCCTACCAGGAAATGCTGGAAATTTAACCTGGGACCTTCTGCTTTCAAAGTTAATGCTCTACCACTGAGCAAAACTTCACAATAAAATGCAATAGTATGGAGCAGGATAGAGAGATCCTAGGTTCAAATTTACACTACATTAAAGTTATGCTGCCACCACATCACCAGAAGGTATGTTGTATGCTATGCCTGCTCAGCCCAGAAAAGGAGATATATACATACGCACAGAGAGAGGGGGTAATTGACAGACACCCATCTACCAGGTGCAACTGACTAGATGCAACTGACCTCCCCTTACCTGGTGCACCAGAGCAAGCAGTCAGGAACAGAGCTGGCAATGATACCGACATGTCACCTGGAAATGGAGGCAGCCAGTGATGTTAGACTCATAGAAGTGCAGAGATGGAAGGGAATCCAAAGGTCATCAAGTATGGCCCCCTGCAACACAGGAATCACAGCTAAAGACTCCTTACAGGTGGACCTCCAACCTCAGCTGAGAAACCTTCAAGGAAGAAGAGTCCACCACGTTCTGAAGTAGTCCACTCCACGACTCTTACCTCCTGAAAGTTCTTCCTACTGTTTGGTTGCAATCTCCTTTCTTGTCATTTGAATCCTTTGGTTCAGGTCCTCCCCTCTGTTGTGATGATCCAGGACCAGTCTCAAATTTCAGTGGCGCCCCGTGCAACACCAAAATCTGCCCCCACCCAGCCTCTCACCTTCTGTTGGATGTCAGTTGAGGTGCCTACTGTGGCCCCCCAGAAGCTTTGCATCTGGTGCGACTGAACTGGTTGTGCTCCCCTACATGTAACTTTGCCAGGACATCACACCACCGCAACCTCCTCACTCCAACAGTCACAGTGATGCCCTCCACAGGGCATGGTGCTAGGAAGCTGAAGACAGCAGTTGGAGCCACCCCTGCAAGAGGGGGAAACTCCAGTCCCCTTTTGCATGCCCAGACCAGAAAAGGAATGTCGAGGGGGGGGAGAGAGGAGGAGCTTCTGAGATGCAAATCCACACTGCAAATATTTCAGAATAGCCCCTGAACTCTCAGTGAGAACTACATGCATCAGTCATATACGCCATGGGACATCCCATCTCAGGATTACAGGGGCTCTTGTGTGGTGCAACAGCTCATGTGTTTACCAGCTGAGGGTCCATGGTATGAAAGGGGGGCAAAACGCCACACTGTGATAGGAAGGAGTCCCTGCCAAACACACCTGAGCCAATCAGGAGAAGCACTGCATAGACAAATAGCATGTCCCCCTTTGTAATTAAATAATGCTATTTCATAATTACAACAAAGAGAGGAAAGCACTGGTCCCCTGCCTCAGTGCCCCAGGAACAAGAATGGTTTAATTAAGGGCCAATTAAGAGTCTATGCATCCATAAAGGCTATGCTGAACTGGAAGCAATGGCAGGGGCAAAAACTGCAAGAAGGAAGCATCTAATTAAAGCTTCAGGACACCTCTGCTGATAGAGACTTGCCTCCAAGTAAGCTTTATAGACCTAGCAGTTCGAAAGCACGTCAAAGTGCAAGTAGATAAATAGGTACTGCTCCGGTAGGAAGGTAAACGGCGTTTCCGGGCGCTGCTCTGGTTCGCCAGAAGCGGCTTAGTCATGCTGGCCACATGACCCGGAAGCTGTACGCCGACTCCCTCGGCCAATAAAGTGAGATGAGTGCCACAACCCCAGAGTCACCCATGACTGGACCTAACGGTCAGGAGTCCCTTTACCTTTACCTTTAAGCTTTATAGAAGAATCTTATCCATGGAGAAGGGAATTGCCATTAAACATAACTCTATAGGAAATGCTATTTTTATTCTTCTCCCAGCTGACTGAGGGAAAACAACACTTCAAAAGCACTCAGGGATCTGAGGGCAGAAGGGGCACTAGCTTAGAAGAAGGGGGTTATGGGATAGGTGGAAAGTATTCAAGTGGGTGGGCTGCACCACCACCCGGAAAGAGTGCCAGCACGGCGGCATGGATTTCATCACCTGCTTCTGCTCAGCTGAGTGCTGGGGCTTAAAAGGATTCTGTGGTTACTATAATGGTTGCACGATCCAGCTTAAGGATGATACACCAATATATTTGCATCTCTGAAAAGCAACAGGTAAATTTGACATTTTCTTATCCAGGTTTGAAGTGCCTCCCCTTCTCCAGCATCACTTATAAAACAGACTAAAGGTGTTTCTAAAATGCACGGCTTCAACTGCTGTTTCAGAGCGTGGAGGTTTTTAAAAAATGGTTGCTGTTGCTGTTTTAAATGCACTGCATAATACGCCCAGTTGTAGAAGACGAAACTCTATTTTAGCAGATAAAAATCCCAGCTTTAAGATCTCCCCTCGCTGCTGGTCTCGAGAGAGAAAATGTTCTTGGCGTTTTCAGATGATCCAGAGAAAGCTGTTCACTTCTCCATAGGCAACTGATAAATTACCGTACTGTGACACCTCCCCCGCTGTCCGAGCTAATGATCTCTCTCCAAACAGCCGATGTATTCTGGAGGGTTGGAGTCGAGCACTTCACGGCTGGTGCAGAGAAATAATCACAGTGAACTTCATCTCCAGAAAAGGGCCATGGGTCTATTTCATTTTTATTAGCGGCAAGATTAATAGGGCCTGGGGTGCTTTTGTTTTGCTTGGTTTTAGTGCTGAGAAATCTCCCAGCCCATCATTTGTTTTCAAACCGTTCCTATAATCTGACATTAATAAACCTAATTTGGAAAGCTCCAAAAAGCAGTGCACTGGATTCTGCCCCCCCCCCAAACAGGTTAAGAGCTTGTTAATAGCTTGCAAGATATTGCACTGGGTAGTCTGCTGCAGAATATCTGACGGGAAGACTGTGGTGGGCCCAGATGTTTGGGAATTGGAGAGGACTCGTGAGAAGCACAGACAGATGAACTAGTCTCCTCTGCAGCTGAATTCTGGCTGCCCCCTTCCCCAGTGCTTTTGTGGAACTGTGTAGTATATAACGGGGGCAGGAGACTGCCTGGTGTGGCATGTTCTTAAAGAATGCTTCCTCTGGTTCTACAAATCTCCCTGGCTTCTCTTATTCCCAAAGACCTGGCCTCTCTTTGCCTTTCACAATAAAAACCAGACAGTGTGTCATCATTGTCCTCCACACACCCCTGCCTTCTTTGCCCTCCTTGTTGCTCTGCTGTTAAAATGCTCCTTCATTCATTACTGTTAATACAATCAGTGCTATTTTTTTAAGGAGAGGCACACTTGTGTTTTGAAAACCAGGCAGTATGTATCTCATGCATTTCCTTGCCATTTTATATTCCCTGGGTATTTTATTATGGAGGGATATTTGCATGAAAATAGCATTTTTCTTTCACAAGGATTCATCTGCTCCTGTTTTCTGCAGTCCCTCAGGATTTTACAGTGGATGAGCATTGTGTATTCCTGATGCTGTCACATACATACACAAAAACACCCAATTATTTAAATTATTGTAACTTGTGTGGGTTTATTTTTTCCTTCATGAATTTGTTGTTCCTTCAGAGCTGCACTGAGCTGAAATAGACAGTCCCAGGCAAGGCAGTCGGATTAAATTGACAGCAAAAAAAAAAAAAGATCCAAAAGATCTGGACGGGACATTTCTCTCTTGTAGGGCACCATATGGAAGAAAATGGGGTCAGGGAGTCAAGTCATGCACATTTCCACTCAAGAGAGCTGGTTCTTTTTGGTGGATCCATCCTGTCAGCTTAAGGCTGACAGCACAGAGTGACCTCAGACCTGCCATACTGGGCCACACCAAGGATCTTCTCTCTAGCCGATCTCTCCAGGTTGGCCACCAACCTAGATGACTTTGAACGAGGATTAGACAAATGCATAGAGGAGAGGGCTATTGATGGCTCTTAGTCATGATGGCTTGACTCTGCCTCCACAGCTGGAGGCAGCAATGCTTTTGAATACCAGTTGCTGGAAATCACAGGAGGGGAGAGGGCTCTTGTTCTCAAATCCTGCTTGCAGGTTTCCTACAAGCATCAGACTGGCCACTGTGTGAACACAATGTTGGACTAGATGCGTCACTGGCCTGATCCAACTGGCTCTTCTTATGTTGAGTCGAGGCAGAATCAAGACTGGAGTGTGCATGATTTTTTAAAAAGAAGGTGCACAGAATTTTCTGTATGATTCTGCCTGAGGCTTTCATAGATCCATACTTATATTTCCCAATCACTTCATGAGCATAGCCAGAATCCATTGCTTACTTGGCCCCCTCCTTGCTAGTCCCCTTAGTTAAGCTCCTCTGCTCTGTTCCTGTTTGTGCTATAGTATATCAGTTTCTTGTCACAAGTGGTCTGTATCAATATCCATATAGAAAATGTGCTTAAAGTACATTATTGACCATGGACTTCCACCCTCCCTTGCTAACTTAATTGCAACAAGTGTACCCACTTAACACTACGTATTGTACACTTAAAAAAAAGAGACTCCCACGATTTATGCAAGTTTTTAAATCATTTGCAAAACAAGTTCCTTTCCTCATTCTGCTTTGCTCACTCCAAAAGCAATTTAGTTCTTGAACCATCTAGCTTTTGCCATGCCTGTTCATTAGCTATATTCACTTAGCTGCTTGAGCAGCTGTGCTGTTTAATGGAGTTGGGTATAAAAATAAAATACAATAAAATGAGATTAATGGAACTGGAAATGAAATATAATGAAATGAGATCTGCATGCAAACAGTTTTGGCACAGTATATTGTCCCCCTAGCAGAGACTGGTGCATGTCCATTGCTGTAGAAAAACATGGTGGACCCTGAGGCCTTGTCTTCTGAAGTTAGCAATCCCACACATGTGCTCTGCTACCCTCTAGTGGTGTGAGTTTCTCCATCTCTAGCCGATTGAAACACATGAAGTGGTCGATCTAGGCTTGCATTATCCGCTTGGATAGGTGTTGGCTCTCTAAGGTGGAGCACTTGCCATTTGAGAGCTTTGAACTGGAGAAGTCAAGCAACGAACCTGGACTCCTTCTGCAGGCTGAGCTTAGGCTCTGCCACTGAGCAGTGACAGCTCTCACACCTCTTCTGTTTCCTTGCTAGATGCAAATAGTTTCCTAAGTGTCCTGTGCAAATCAAATTGATAAGAATGAGCTCAGGGAAAGCCAAATTTTAAAAATTGCATTTATACCCCACCCTCTACCTCCAAGGAGCTCAGGGTGGTATGCATTTTATCCTCACAAAAACCTGTGAGCGGGGCCAGATTTAGGTCTGATGAGGCCCTAAGCAACTGAAGGTAATGGGGCCCTTTATATGTCCAGCTGTCCTTTGTCAACAATAAATTGCCACTGTTTTTTGTGTTGAATGTATGCTATATGGTAATTTATGGACCTAATAGGTATCTAAAGCCATCTGCACATAACAAAAGCCAGGGCCCATTATTTACATCATAGGAGCCTACACAACACAAAACACAGTTGCTGCATGTATTTATTTGTTTTTTTTTTATCTTATATTTTTGAAATGTACATCCAAGGTTTTTTCCATTAATTTTTTGGGGGCCTCCAAGAGAGTGGGGCCCTAAGCTATAGCTTGTTTAGCTTATACGTAAATCTGGCACTGTGAGGTAAGTTAGTAGTAGAGACTGTGACTGGTGCAGGCTCACCTGAGTGAGTTTCATGGGGATTTAAACCCTGGTCTCTCAGATCCCAGTGTGACACTCTTAACACCAGTGCTTTTTCCCCCAGGGGGTACTCAGGGGTATGCAGTACAGGCATTTTTTGTGGTTAAAAAGTGTGGCAATTATTGTAACAACTTCATGGTGAGTACCGGCACCTATTTCTCTGGGGGGAAGCACTGCTTACCACTATTCCACACATGTTTCTAAGCAAAGCTGTTCACAGACCTTTCTCAGAAGGAGAGAGGGGAGAAAGGGGGAAGAAATCACCTCCTGAAGCATGCAGATTCCTCTCTTGCCTATGTCTCTCTCTGATGCTATTTGGGTAAGAGCAGAGCATGAGCTCTCTGACTTCCACACTAGCCTGCCTCCTCTCCATTTTCTCTGGGGGCTCTGTAGTAAAATCAGGAGG